TATATATAATTTGAATTTTGGAAACTTTAACTGTGCTGTCAACTTTGGAAAAAGTTATCCCAGTTTACTGTGTTGAGTTGGCATTGTACAGAAATTAACAGCCATATTGGTCTAAAAATGTTAATCTTTTTTTCCATTTGTACAGGGGTAATGCACTGTATTAAATATGTAAGGTCTTATCTACATGGGTTTGATTACAGAAACTAATAAAGTATTCTCTAAATAATGAAAAAGAAAAACCTGGCCCTCTTTTTTTTTTTTTTAATCTCTTAAGGATCCTACATTCAAGGTAATCAATACCTTTAAGAATGTTTTGGTGCTAGATATAGAATTAATAAGAGCATCTAGCTATACTCCAGGAAGTTAATACTTCAAAAATGCTAGCTTATACTTAATTTGTAACTTACTCCAGTAAAAGTGAGTTACAAAGTTGTGTCTTCATTCACTATGCAAATTATTATTCAGAAACTTAGCGGATAACAGTAACAGGGACACCAAGAGCCCTGCACCATTCAGGCCTCCCAAGCTAACAGAGGAGACGAGGAAACAGGAATTCCACGCTGTGGGATATGGGATGGAGCTCCAGGCTGACGGGGAGGGGAAAGGTCAGCGGTGCAGAGCTAGGGGTGCATAGCAGGAGGGTTTCCTAAGGGTGAGGCTGTCCATCCCTGTCAGCCCCCCACTGAAGCTGAGGAATGGGTCTTGGCAGTTGAGGGACTGGACAGCGTCCTGATGACCTGAGAAAATATGTTGAGGGAAAGCAGGAAAGCTCGAGGGATCAGAGTTTAGGGTATGTAAGGAGAGGCTGAAAAGCCCTCTGAAAGAGCCCGTGCTTCTCCATCATGCCTTTTCCATCTTGAGGGCTTTTCTGACAACTGCAGGTGGCATTGCCCCTCTTTGGGTTCCTATGAGTTTGTGCATTTCTAGTACTGAGCTTTCACCCTCATTCAGTTGCTCATTCTTGAATTCCGTAATTGTCTGCAAGATAACCAAAGTCAGGACGATCTGCCAGTTATTACCATAAAACCTAGAAAATAGCAGATGCTCAGTAAATGTTTACTGAACACGCACACTGATGATGACTTGCGGGCTGGATGAGTGCTGGGTTACAGACAGCCCAGGAGGAGAGAGTCATGCATTGCCTTGGTTATCAAGCAACAGTTCATAAAACCTTAATGGTTTCATTTTTCCGTTTCAGATTACTTGCGGCGTATAATAGCCTGACTGATAAACACCTGGCTGGATATTTTAACAATACCAGGATAAGAAGGCATCTCTTAAGATCAGGGCTGGTAAGATTTGTTTTACTTTCTACCCACCTTCTTGTTTAAATTCAGTAATTCCCAATCTTTTCAGGTTTCCTCTTTTAGCTACTCGGTGACATGTTTTTTTGTTTTGGTTTGGTTTGGTTTTTCTTCCCCTACTCATTTCAGGAAAATTACCTGCTTTCCAAAGTTCTGATTTATTTATTTGAGGCTATTTCAAAAGATGAGAAGAGAGGTCAGAGTGACAGCTAAAGAAACATAAATTATTGAGGCTGTTTCTATTAGCGTTCCACAGCATAGTTCATTTGTTTGTTCATTCATGTATTCAACACAGTTCTTTTTTGTTTTGTTTTGTTTTGTTTTGTTTTTGTTTTGTACCAGGGATCAAACAACGGTCCTTGTACTTGGGAGGCAGGTGGCTGAACCACTGAGCTAAATCTGCAGCCCTTGACACATATTTATTGAACACATTCTATGGACCTGATACTGTTACAGAGTGAGGACTAAGAAGAACATTTTATTGTCTTTGGAAAAGAATATCGGTTTTAATGATCACAGAATATGGTGTGGAAAACATGAACAGTTCAACATTTTCCCCAGCATCATTCATATCTGTCCTTTCCACAGAATTTCCATTCCTCTAAAAGCGTATGATATGGAGATCTTCAAAAATGCTATGGATTTCCACGGAATGCAAGGGTGTGGTTACACAAAGTGTCAGCTGTTTACTGACTTTGTTAAAGCACAGTAGATTTTTCTTAACAGTTGTTGCCTTGGTGTTGAAAGAACACGCCTCAGGTTTGTAATTGTTATGTGCTCCGCACTCCACCTGGAGAGATCTCAGAGCGGGCTTCCTGCCTCCTGGGACATTGTTATCAGACAAACCTGGCTGAAGCCTGACTTGCCTTTAATAAGACAGAGAATCAGGAGCAGAACACGTAACTTTCTCAGCCTCAACTTCCTCAATTGTGAAATAAAGATTGTGATGCTGAGCCCCCAGAATTGTCATTACAACTGGAGTTGTGCAACAAATCCTTTTGTGATTATCATGGTCATTAATAACATTCCTTTCGGGGGGAGGTAAGAATCTGTGCGCTTTATGTGTAAATGGGAAAGGCTTTGTATATACCTAGCGTCATTACCAAGCACTTACTCAACTCTGATTCCATGCACGGCCTCTCAGATCAGGGAGATTTGGCCATTTTTCTACAGCAGTGGTAACCCTCAGAGGCAGAGTTCAGCCTCACCCGGGAACTTGTTAAGGAATGCAAATGCGAGAGCATTACCCTAGACCTACTGAATCAGAAGCCAGAGGCGGGCCCATCAATCCGCTCTTCCTCAAGCTCTCCGAGGCACTCTGATACAGGTTCCGGTTTAAGAACCTCTGCCCTGTAGGAGCTTCTAATCTAAGTGGGGAGATCCGGCAGAATCTGCAGGAGAGATGACAAGGACACACGTTAACTGCCAAGGGAAAGGCAGTGAGGATTCTAAAGACCGCAATTGCGCTATTGGTCATTTTAAGCACATTTTTTATAACAAATACCTTTCTTTCATTAGAAGAAAATGTATGTGCATATACCGAATATATGTACATATGCTGTTGATAATATATAGCATCTGCGATATCAATAGCCAATTGTAACACAGCTCTGGTTGATCGCAACACTAATATTTTACAAAAGCTTAACCTACTGTTAGCAGAATAAAGAATAAACATGCAGCTTGCATTAACCATAAAACAAGAGTGGGGCTTATGTAAGTGGAAAAGGTGCACAATCAGAAAGAATAATGCCCCGTGTTTATAGGAGATATAGAAAAAATTACAAATATACAAATATTTCCACGGAAAAGAGCCAAACAAAAATACACAGAAAACAAACTGCTACTCCTGGGACATGTGGTGATAGAAACGGAGCCGAACACTGAATATTCTCTCTCTAAAGCACTGTATAATCTGTAAAATTTGAAATCACAACAAATGAATACACTGTGCACTGAAGAGCAGAAGAAAAAGCAGAAGGACAACAACGTCATGAAACCAATTATTTTTTAAACTGATGAGCTCCTCCGTAGCCGGCCTCCTCTGCCCTTCAAGGCGCTTCGGTGAGCTCATCCATCCAGTCCCGCGATCAGGGCCCCAGCTCAAGGTAGCCGCGTCCCCTTCTTCCCAGAATGTGTCCAAAAAGAGCCATGAAAAGAACACCTGGGTTCCATCGAGGGAACGTTGTTGGCCTAATGAAAACCTTGTTTTAAACTCCAGGTGCACCACCTGTGCGTATTTTCACACTGGTGGGTGTCTGAGACTTCCTTTCCCCGGTTGCCTTATGAAATATTCATTAAAAGGGAAAGTTTATCACCCCGAGCCATGTGCTCCGTTAGGCTTTGAAGGCACTGCTACTCTCTCTGCTACCTCTCTGCTCTCTTTTTCCGTCTTTCTTTCCCCTCTTTCCCTTCAGTGACTAACAACTTCTTTTCTACTTTGTATTTCCTTGTTCGCTTTATTTATTCCTTATAGATCACAAGAAGTGGAAGAATACTTTCTGAGAAAGAATATAAGCTAAATATAATGAAGAGGGATCATCAAAAATATATTCGGGAATGCTTGGCACAGGCTATTTTCCATAAGGTCCTTGACATGGAGGTACAGCTATTTATTACTATCTTCCTTATAAGTGATAGTTTATGATACGATAATGAATAATACATCTGTACCCAGAAGCAGAGAATTCTTCCTATATTTCATGAAAAAGTAGAGAGCCCAGCGACTTAAGTAATATTCTATATCTCTCTAGGTAGGCAGGAGCCAAGAGACTAGTGCAAGCTTTTCTCTATTTCAGTTGGGAAAAAATATGGGCATCATAATGTGTTTTGTGATATTTAATTTTCTAAATGTAGATTTTTAATCTACAATGGCTACTCTGAAACATACCAGCCCTCACCATCTGTACCTTAATTTACATTTGCTTTTAAAAAGTGACATCTGCTTAAATATCAGTAATTCCACTGTCATGAATTATTTCAGATCTGCTATTCTTTTAAGGCTTCAAAGCCCTGCCGTATGTTAAGTTTCAAGGAATAGGCATTGAAACATCTGCTGTCCCTCCTACTTCAGGCCACATTGGTCAGCACGGATTTGCAACCCAAGCATCAACAATTTTTTTATCAGACATGGCATTTTTAGTGGGATATCTAGCTAACTTGATAAATTATTTCAGCCTTGCTCCATGAAACTTGTAGTTTCAAGCATCAACACCATTTTAATCTCTGTGAAAAAGTATGTCACTTCTTGGCTTCACCACACAGCAGTAAATCAGAAAACTTGGCTTGTAAAACCACTGACCTGTGGGTGCAGTAAACATTGATGAACAACTGTAGAATCATCAGTAAACCAATGCTAAGATTGTTACCACTGAAAATAGTTCTTATAATGCTGCTGTAATATTGATCAAGTGGAGTGTTTGCTTACAATGTGTATATGTATGTATAGAAAACCTCTTAATTTAGGGATTTGTTTTTTGCTTTATATCATATGCATGAATTTTATAAAAATCACTCTTGATGGCCCTCAAGTTCACTTGCTTATAAGATTGTTAATAGGAATTGTAAAACTTTGTTAAAAATTAGTACAGCACAAAATTAATCTATATCTAGTTTCAGATTTACTCAAGTTCCTTTCCCACACCCCCTTGACCCACCCAGATGCACCAGAAGTGTGTTTTACTAATGTCTTAGTTCTCTCAAGCCAATCAAGATGGCAACCAAGATTAACCACCAGCCTGGCATCATGGTACACACCTGTGATCCCAACATTTTGGTAGACGGAGGCAGGGAGGATCACAATTTCCAGCCCAGCCTGAGCAACTCAGTGAGACCTTGTCTCAAAAGAAAAAAGAAAAAATGGGCTGGAGATGTAGCTCAGTCCAAAGGATTCAATGCCCACCACTAAAGAAAACTGAAACAAAGCATAACAAACAAAAACCCCACGATTTAACCATTCCGTATTAATTTCATCCCATATTAATTTCAGGCTTACCACTCGCCAAAATAAAAGTATATATTGCAGCTGTACATATAATTTAAAAACATACTATAGGAAATGATCCAGTGTAAGAAGAAAGCCATCGAGTATCTCAGAAAAGAAGGGCAGGATGGTCTCCTCTGTGCTGTCAGAGGAAGCAGAACAGAATTCCTGCTATTTGAAATGCATGCTTAAAAATGAATGAGAATTCCCATGAGGACTTGGGACAGACATTCCGGACAGTGGAGACCGCAGGTGTGAAATAACAGTACTTTGTGAATGGAAACGCAAGCTCCCTGAAGCCAGACTGTGCAGTGGGGCTGGTTGGGAGCAATGGCAGGAAGTGCCACTATATCCAACAAATTGAGGATCCGTTTCCGGGGGAGCTTTAAACTCTCAACTCAGTTTGAAGCGTAGGTGATGAGGCGATGAAATGTTTTCCAGCAGGGGAGTGAAATAAATGAGCAGAACTGTTTTAGAAAGATGATGTTGCTAAAAATGTGGAAGATGGATTAATGAGCTGGAAAAGATTGGAGGTGGGAGGTCAATTAGGAAGCTGTTGCCAAAGGATGCAGGCTAATGGCAGTAGTGGTAATGTGAGGGAGATGCAGCTGTCTGCAGAGGCATAGAAGATGAAGAAAGCTTTAAAGCAACAGCACAAGGAGGACTGAGGGAGAGTGAGGAGTGTGGAGCGGGGTGGACTTCTGGAGCACAGGAACCAGCAAGACAGGAAAGAGCCTTCCGGTGGAAAAACACACACCTGAGCGTGTGCTGTCCTGGAAGCCAGGAGCCCTTACACTCTTCTGAATGGTTAAAAAGGATGGGTCCCCAGAGATCAGTGGGGTTATCCCGGGACACAAAGCCATCGGTGGCCTTGGGGAAAGTGCTGTCAGGATGGTGAAGAGGACAGGCTGCCTGGAGTGCTGAGAATAAGTGGGAGACGGAGGTTGTAATAGACTTTGGTACTGAGTGGATGAAAGATCAGAGAAAGAGGGAAAGGGAACGGAAGTGTCAAACAGAGGCTTGATGATACTTAGGTGCTGAATGACTGAGGCTACAGGGTGCCCCAGAAAGCAGAAATGGATCAAAACCAGAAAAACAAGCCTTCTCCCCCACAAAGGGCCAAGAAATAAAACGGCCTTCGAATGCATCTCAATGGCTTCAAATTGAATTGTGAGCAATTCTTTTCATATCAGTTTTATTTTTAAATTATAGCTCAATATTTTACAGAATCTTTGGAAAATATAAACAACATAGTAAAGGAACATAATCACAAATAGTTCGTATTCACAGAAATTACTGTCTTTGTACAGTTTTTAATTTCTTCTTCTCATGTTTATGCATTAATAATCTCATGCTATGTTGTGAGAGGGACATGATTTTGAGAAACCAAAACAAAAAATAAGAAGTTAATGTCAGATAGAACAAGATTCAAATTACAGCTGTCTAGGTGATTGCACGTAGGATCTGGGGCAAGTTTATGATCTGCCTCAGTGTCTCCATTTGTAAAATGAGACTGCTTGGTAATTAAACATGGGGGTGCCTTGAAGCCACAGGCATAGGCAGAGTCTTCCTGGACAGAATCGGAGTAGCACAAGCCGTAATATGAAGAACCAATAAATGGAATTAAAACAAACTAAAAAACTTCTGCACAGCAAAAGAAACAGTGAACAGAATGAAGAGACAATCTGCAGGATGGGAATTTGTTTCCCCACCCATTCTTTTGGTAGAGTAACAATATCTAGAATATATGAAGAAACATAAATGACTCAGTCAAAAATGTGTAAGTGAACCGAAGAGACACTTCTCAAAGGGAGAAGTATAAATGACCAATGAGTATATGAAAAAATGGCTATCTCATATGCAAAGTAGCTTTGTAGCACAAGGACAGGCACGTGAAAAGCGTTTTCATCAATTAAGTGGTATTTCTATGTAACTTTGAGTCCTACTTTTTCTTGAATTACATGCATTTGCCATTTTAAAGAACAAAATCCTCATAATTCCCATGCCAATGATTATGTCCTACTGCATTATATGGATGTGCCAAAAATTTAACCATTCTCCTCAAAACTTCTTTTATTTCTGCTTTTTGTTTGGAAAAAAAGAAAAAAAAACCCACAATGCTTTCCAATAGCATTTTTATTCATAAAACATTATATCATTATTATTCAGTTTTTCCCTAAGGTGTAGGAGTGAAATGTATTGGTAAAAGGGTATGAATACTTTTGGCTGCCTGACATACATTTGTAATTGGCTTTTTGAAGAGTAGTACCAATTTATATTCCCACCTGCACACTTTTTGCAGGTGATTCTTCTCCATTGCAATGACAAGAGGGATAATTCAGAATCTAGTTAGCTACTGGGATTATTTTCTTCTAAAAATTATTTGCTATGATTGATTCTTTCCTCTATTCCTTCCCGTATGCCTAGCGTTACCATCAGCTTGAAATAAAAAGGAAACTGGAGACTTTAGCTAGGAAGGAGCAGGTTCAGAGATTTAAGGTAAGCGATATATATTCACATTTTCTCATAATATTATCTTATGGTTTCAAAAACCATTGGCGTTATTCTTGAAGTTTCCTAAGGCTCTTTACATTTGAGTAACAGAGAGCTGAGGTCAAAAAATGGTAAGAACCAAGATGGATTATGCAAAGGTGCAAATTTCCAATGATGAGTGTCCTTATAATATGTAAGGACATAAATGTGCCAACAAAATTAATTATAAATGGTTCTAACTGAGCTAAATCTTGGCCATCATCATTATCAATGATTGTGATCATGACAAAGTAGAAGCTATTTGTGTGAAAAACTATTTTAATAAGGCACCAACCCTTATAAGAGAAAAAAAATTCAAGTTTAAAATTTGGCTTTAGTATTTTCTTGTAATGGTGCCCAAAGAATTTTTACCTGGCTAAGTAAAAATAGATAGTAATGTTCTGAGTGTTATGGCAAATAGGGCATTGTGAGCATTATACAATGGCAGATTTTCATGTGACTCACCCTTGAAAATTGTGGTGGAAACGATCCTCTTCAGAGAGAGCAAGCAAAATAAGATTTAAGATGTTCTGTCCTGAGCATTTTCAAATCTCTTGCTTGTTTTCTATTTTTGTATATGATATCCCTTCCTTGCAGTGAACTTATGAGATATATAAATTTGAAGCAAGCCATGAGAGATTCAATTAGGCATGTTTGAAAGATTGAAGGTTAGTCTGGCAGTTTTATTCAATTTCTTGAGCCATTCCAAATTGCATGTTGTCTTTAATTTTCAGTGTAGTGTTACAAATGTGGGCCTAAGACATGATTCACAAAATGATGAGCATCTGTAAAGCTTCTGTAGAGCAACTTGCCATTTAAAACCATAATTTTTCCCTCTTGCCTGATACACTCACCTCTGTTTCATCAGGGTCAAAAGATAATCTTGTTACAAAAACGTTGTTGAGTGGCAGAAGACAGGTCAGTGTTTTTAAGCTCCGAAGAGTTGGGCTGAAAAGATGTGAGGTTAACTCCGCTTTGCTGATGTTGTCCTATGCCAAGGACTGAGTTACCGGTGCTCTAATTTATCTGCTGAAACGTTGATAGGGAAAAATAGTTACTGGACAGCCAGGTTGCCGTGGATCTGTGTTCTGTTCACTCCTCCCCAGGTGCCCACAAAGACTGGAGTCTTGGCAGAGACTCAGCATAGCCATCCACTTCCTCCCCCTAGAGTTTTTATTTGTCGTAATTTTCACTACATAACTGCAATTGGCAAAAAAAAAAAAAAAAAGTTTCAGGTCCCCTTTACTTAATATGCGACCATTTTTGCTTAATGGCATAATTACATTATTTCCGAAATAGAAAAAGTACTACTTTCTGGTAGTCTCTACTGATCAGACTACTGAACGGCCTTGTGCTTTTTGATAGTGATCAGTTTAAAGAGGATTAATAAACTCTTGCTAAAATGTCGGAAACAGTGCTTCGGTCAGTGTCTTTCTGCACAGTTAAAGCAGATTTACTGTCCTGCCTCTCACCTCTGCCCAGATTCCTGGTGATTGTGGAAAGACAGGCCTCAGAAGTAGCATTCCTGAAGGAATGAGCGTGGGTGCCTCTCGTCTCGCAGCCAGTCCGCCTAGCCTAGTCTAGGTGACTAACTACTCCTGCATGCACATATCCACTAAGTTTCTCTCTTATTCCAGGGGATGCTCACAAGACAGTCTGCTGAAAATAGCATGCCAGTCCTGTCTCCTCATCCCCCAGTTGGCCCAAAGATGAACCGTGGTCATAATATTCTGGTTAGTGAAGGCCATTCCAGTCCACTAACATTGGTGAGTCCTATAACCAGTCGCAGGCAATTAATTTATGATTTCTTCTTAATATTAGAAATAATTCTCTCTGGAAGGATACCTGCATAATCATGTGAGTCCCGCTGAATGAAAACATCGTCTTAAGAATAAACAAAAACCACAGATTTATATCTGTTCAACTGTCTCCTCCCTGATCAAAATCATTCCTACCAAATCCATTTTTCTTGCTACTATTAGATTTGTTTTCTTGTGCAGATTACTTATGTCACTTGCAGGCCTAGATACTTTCCTTGGCTCTGTATTACCTACAGAAAAGTCCAGACTATCTCATGTAACATTTAACAGTGATGGCGAACCTTTTAGAGCTTTCAGTTGTACAAACAGCCACTGTGGCATGCTTGCCGTTAGGTTCTCCACCGCTGCTCTAAACCATATAACCTCAAGTTAAGCTATTCCATTGCCCCATTCTGTTTGTTTCCTTAGCCTCCTACAGTGCAGAAAAGTTGAACCATGAGTTGTTTCATACATGTTCTGTATTTCTGACCACTAAATTTTGTTCTTTCCTTTCCTCTAGTACTTTATCAGTGCATTCTTAGTACCATATTGCGCGTTAGCTAGATACAAAGGTTTGCACTTCTTTTATCAAAAGTATAATCAAATGTATAGAAATTATATTTGAAGAAATTGGAGACTGACTGTTATTCGAATTTGATTAATCTATAACCTAGAAATAGCTAATATTTACTCAAAAGAGTGGAGGGTCTTTTGAAACAACAATTACAGGAACGGATGTGCAAAAATATTTCTTGGAGGCTGGTAGTTTAAGTCACTACTGAATCGCCTGATTACATCTTTATTCTTGTGTAACCTAATACATTTCCTTGTTAGCATGAACCTTTTTGTGCTGCATAATATTTATAGAGAATTGCAATGCTTTTCATAGAATGTTGAAGTAGGTTCATCAGATATAGCAGTATTTCTCAAAGGATAAACATATTTTGACATTTCCTGATGAACAACTCAAGTGGTGAAAAGCAACCCTCCTCCTTCCTTTGTTGTTACTTTATTTTCAGGCTCTATGTGTATGTACATATGAACAAATAATTCTTTTATTGGCTGACAATTCACTAGATTCTCAAAAGCTTAACCTAGGTGAAACAAGAGAAACAATTAAGTACTGTTTTCTGTCTTACCACCTGTTTCAGAGAGGAAAAACCCCTTAAAAGCTTTCTTTTCAATTTTCCAGCTGAACACCCTCAATAAATAGTTTATGATACATCCAGGAGATCTTAATGTGGAAGGAGTGAGAAAGTAATTTAAAAATTACAGGAAACACCAACACCAGCACTTCACAAGTCTTTCCCTGTGATAAGCCAGGATTCTTCACTTGGCCGCCCCCTGTAGGGCCCTTGCACCTGAAGGGGTACCTATTGTGGGCTTGGGATTGTATTTCTATTTTATGAAAAATCAAGGCGCTCTTCTTTTTGTTTTCTCAATCTGAATACATATGCTTTAAATGTCACTCCTGACCCCAAGTGCCACTGAGATGAAGATAAAAATCCTTACTGTCATTAAAAAAAAAATTTCTCAAGTGGATAAAGAAAGCAACCGACACTACATCAGTGTGCCCGGTCACTATTTGCACCTAAACCTTCAAAATAGCATGTGGGCTTTTAGCTGCACCGCTGCCATTAAAACTGTGGAGAGTCACCTCAACTCATTCCGTGCATTCTAGGAAATTTCACCCCTTGATGTCTTCTAAGAATTAGAAATGCTCAGCTCTGCTGAATAGTCAGCAGGTAGTCAGTGTCAATTTCCATTCTGGTACAGCTCCCGTGCCATATTTATTGCAGGAAAACATATTCCAAACAATTTAAAATATAGCAAATTTAAGGTAGTTTCTGATGTGAGCCACAACAGTTTGTGACTCACAGCTGTTAGTTAATGGTGCAGATTTGTTTTTAGGGATAAATGTAATCAGTTGAACATTTGACTGCCACATTCATCTAACTGAATGATATTTGTATGCAAATACACTGAAGTAAAATTTAGAGCATAACAGCCAATAGATCATGGTCTAGTTTGCACTAACCCACTTTCTTAAATTCCTACATGAGATTTTTCATATTTTTGTTTCATGTATCACTTCTCACATCTCATTGGCCAACACAGAAGCAAACATCCTACATGAATTGAAAGGCATTCTGGGAAATACAATCCTCATTTAAGACAGCCATGTTTCCAGACAAAAATTCTATTACTAGTGAAGAAAAAAAATCGAGAAGGGAGGTGTTGTTTGTTGTTTTCCTCATATCTTGCTCATAAATAGCTGTCCTTTGGTGTTCAAATTTACCATTCTTCTCTAATTGTCCATTTTCTTCTCATGTTTAACCATTTGCATAAAATCTTTTTGTGTGTGTGAAAATTGAATTTCTGTTATCTGCACTGGCTTGCTTTAAATATTCTAACAAATTTAATTCTGAGTTTTGTCATCAGGTATTTTGTTGTCTTTTTGGCGGTATCTGTATGTTTCATTTGACACTGACTTTCTTGTATTTAGTATTAATTCCTTTTTATCTCCTTACCAGGTCTATGGTGGGAATTCAGTAAATATCGAATTAAAAAATCAGAGATTTAACAATGGATAACATGCTTCTCAAGGTGGTACTAAGACTAATATTTGAGAGTACAATCTACCTTATCAACATTTTTCAATGCATTCACACACAATTTTCCAGAATTGAATATTTGTTGCTTATCATTCTTTTGAGTTGATATACAATGCTTTGCTCACGAATCACTTATATATCATACCATCCTTCTCGTACCCTCTTAGCCTAATGCGCATGTCCTATTCTTGACAAGTTTTCTGTTATCTTGAGGAGATAGAACAACTGGGTCAAAAGCCTCATTTCTTTCTTCATTTTTGACACATTGCTAATCTTTCTACTAAACTTACACTATTTGGTTGATGCCCCCAAAAGGCACTTCTCATGCTCCATGCTGGCACTTTTGGTATTCACTGCAATGCATCTTTGATTGGAAAATGTCTCAGTTGGGGGCTCAGCAGGAAACAGATGGCTCACACTAATAGAGTAATTAGGAAGTGTTTAATAAAGAAACTATTTACAAAGATGCGGGCAGGGTTAAGGAAAACTAACCAGCAGTGTTAGGCATGCTGGGGTCAGCACCGTGAAAAACCACAGCCCTAGGACTAAGGGGAAGGACAGGGATTGGATTCCACAATCATCAGATCTTCCTGGGACTGGGAGAAGTCTTCCCAATACCAACAGTGGGCGTAGGTAAAGGGACGCTGTTGACCCATTACAGCCCACAGGGCGGGGGGTTCAACTTCATTGTCATCCTGTCCTCTTGGGTAAAATCCAACTTCAATTTTGAGGTTAGCTGGTGAATTCCTAAAGGGATGCCTCCCAGAGCAAGGCCAAGAAGGTGAACAGGAGACCTGGAAATGGAAAATAGTTGCCAGTTACAATTTTTCTTTTTCTTTTTTTCTTAAAATATCAAGGACGCAGTGGGATAAATGGTAATACATTATATAGTTAAGCATCTGCCTACCCTATTGTCTGCTTTTACTTCAGCACCAATCTTAAGGCTTAAAGGATTCAGAGTAGAATTTATATTGAAAACATTGAAACAGAAATGAGTCCATTACAATATCCTTTTAGATCTCTAAAAAGGACCATTATTCAACTTAACATCTAATGAGCAAAGCCATTCTAAGCACAGTATAAATTAAGTATTGTCAGTGAGTTTACAGTATGAATAAAAATACAGGAACGTGATAGAGAACATCTCCTTTGTCTAGAATACTCTATAATTGTGGCATTTAGTTATGTAGAGGACTTCAACACCATATGTTTTAACAAATACTTTGGGTCATGAGGGTATGTATAATGGAAGGGCATAATTATAGTTTAATCTGTTCAGTAAAAAGGCACCATTAATTACTCTAGGCAATTTGTTGTGTTATTAATTGGTTCTGGAAATGTGTCAAAATACTAATTTAAATGGAGTTTTTTTTCCCCTAATTGTCTAGACAGCCCCTCGACCATATACCGCCCCTGGAAATATGCAGCCTCCAATTAGATTACAGCCTCTTCCTAGTAATCCTTCAGTGAGGACTGTTCCAAAGCCAACTTTGGGATCCAGATCAAAAACTTCACTGCTGGAAAATGAAGCTCCATTTCCTATTGGGGTAAATGTTATCTTTTACGAAACACTTTTATTCTTGAGCAGAGGTTTGGTTCATCACAGTCTAAGATGTTCTATTCAACTTGTCCACTTGTTGAATTTCATGCCATGTGTTTATTAAACACTTACTGTGTGCTTCTGATGAATTGTGTCTTACTCTAACTGGAAGGCCTAGATAATCTGTTATTGAGTAGAAAACATAAAGAATAGATTTGTAATAATTTATGTGATTCTTATTCAGTTGGAAGGGTGATTAAAAAACAAAGAGCAAAGACCTTATAGCCATAGATGGCTTCTATCAGAACTGGCTCAGTGTTAACTCTCCAGATTTTAAGTGCATGAAATCTAGAAAATGAAAATTTCTCAGAATAGGCTTGCGTTTGCATGCTGACTTACTTTTCCATCAGTGTATGAAATTGCTTCAAGTTTGACTCTTAGGCGATTGAATATAGAAGGAAAAGAATGTCCACCTTTAAGAAATGCTGAGTTAATCACATCCAGAAGCTCAACTCAGCTTTCCTTTCAAGGTTATGTGCCAGGCAATCCTTACTTATTTAAATACAGCACCAGAAGAAGGTGTGGTGACTGTGAAATGTTCTTTAAACAGGGAGGAATAATTAGGACATCACTAACTAGGGGGGATGTTGCTTGTGTTTCTAGCATTTGCCTGCTAAATAAGGAACTTGTGTCCTAAGAATAATTATCATTATTTGAAAAGGGTTGAATTATGCTCTATGAATTATGCCTTACTAGGAAACACTAGACATATGAAATTAAGGATGCAATATTTTTGTTAGCTAACAGGTAATCTTGCACTAAGACATTAATTCAGATAAACAAATGATTTTGCTTCACAGTACAAGTCTAAATATAACTCTAAAAAGAGTAACTCATAATTTAATTCATTTCATATGCTTTTCAGCTTGTGTAATACTTTTCATAACTTATTTCGGTTAATTTAGAAAGCAGGAGATATTAATCCAAAAGCGGTGGCTATTTGTCTTTAGAAGACTGCTTAGAGCTACACAGGAATTTGTTGGGTCATAAGTTAATTAGTTTGGCACTTTCTAGCATCTAGTCTCCAAAGCAAGGCCACAACCCAGATTTGCCATTTCAGCTGATGTTTAAGAATGGTCTGGTCCAGGGAGATTGTCTCAAGCTCTCGAAAATAACTAACAACCAGGTCATTTTTCTGCCTGTAGAAAGTCAAGACAGGGACCACTAATTCAAGAGATATCAAACAGTTACAGCTGGTAGAAATGCCTCCCTGTAGGCCATGCTACTTGGAAGGCCAGGTCACAATAAGAAGGTTGCCTGGTGAGCACGGAATCAGAAGGAGGAGATGTGGTGTAAGGAACAGAATGTTAATGGGACAGGTTCAGATGTCCTGGGGCACCCACCTCATCTTGGGAAGGGGCTGGCCTTAAGAACCAGAAAACTCAAAGACCTCCTGCGTCTTGCAGGGATAGCTTTGCCATTAGAACTAGAAATACTCAAAGTCAAACGGGTAGGATTTCCTCTCCCCTAGCTAGTACTCAGATGAGTACTTTCCACATTTGCCAAGGTGACTGTATTTTTTTATAAGCTCCAATAATTATTAATTCTACTTTCAATGGTACATTTTCTTTTTGGATATGTCAATATTATCAACCTAATAATAATAATACCCAAGTTCTGTTGGGTAGGCAGTGATTTTGTTTTCTTTTCAGTTGACTTTCCAGATCTGCTCTAAGCCACTGTATAGATTTGCTACTAAATCTACATAGAGATTTATTTTCCTGTTTCCAAGTTTTGGAGTGAGGGCTATTGAATGATCTTTATTTAATGTACCTCGTAAGTACCGACAAGATTGAGATCAATTTCACGTTAGTTTGAAGTAACCGAACTCACTTTTCATTCAGCATGTATTTTTTCTTGGCTCTTATTATGGGCTAGGTACTCCTCCAGCAAGTGGTGCTATATTCGTTATCAAGGCAGACAGAAGTCACTTGCTGGTGTTTATAGAGTAATGCACATAAGCAAAATGTACTATGAGAAAAGACTTTTCCTTTCATGCGATTCTGTATGATGAAAATGTTTCAATGTAAAATCAGACTAGAAATTGAAGTATAATTGAATGATGCCTAAGTGTGCAGGGAGGACCTAACACATATTTACTCCTTTTTATTTTTATTTATTTATTTTTTTAGCAGCCCGAACATACTGGGGCAGTCAATATATGTGTCTTATTCCTTTTTAACAGAGTAAAGGATCTGCACATGGGGTATTTGAGGGTGCAATAGATAAAAACAGGCTGTCTGTTGCTTAGTAGCAAGAGTAAGGGTTTCTAGGCAAAAGTGATTTGGTAAAAAAACAAATTGAGATGCAAGTAAAAGTAATCACACGACTAATAAATGAATAACCTCAGAATGAGAAATTCCTCTATGGTGTTGGTACCAGGAGAAATCAGTACAGCTGTCTATGGCCATACCACCCTGAACGCACCCAATCTTGTCTGATCTCAGAAGTTAAGCAGGGTCGGGCCTGGTTAGTACTTAGATGGGAGAAATCAGTACAGCTATTTGTAAAGGAAATATTGAGAATATCCATCCTAAATGAATGTGCTCAAGCATTTTTACATTTAGGAGTTTAAGGAATCCACACTTATAGGCAAAAATAGATTCAAGAATATTTTCTACTGTCCTATTTGCAATAGTGAACAATTAGAAGAATCTTTAGTATGTGAGAGTATTGTTTGAAAACATTATAAGGTACAAAAGCACATTTAAAATATATGGTAGAATCGTCAGTAATGGCATGGATCAGTGTCCATGATTCCATGAGCTAAATAAGCAAAGAAAAAAAAATTATTTTTTTATAAAATTAAGTCATTTCCAAAGAAGACATGCGATTCTGTATTAGCTAGTCAGAAATACATTTTAAAAATCTCCAAGCCAAAAGTGTTCTAAATTCACTGACTTTATTATTCCTATTATTTTTTCTTATTAATTCCAATATAGATGCAGCCTATTACAGAAAAACTAGAAAATGTAAGCAAAGCAAAATAAGGACACAACACAATGCAATGTCAACCATTTTCAAAATAGTAAACTTCTTGGTGACCAATCTATTTAAATCCCCTTCCATTCATATAAATGTTGTTTCCTATCATAATTTGGGCTATAAATTTAACCTACTTTTACTTATTTAGCCTATTTACTTAATTAGCAATTAAAATGTTTGGAGTATATAACTACCCTGTCTTAAAAATAACTTTTCACTATTAAGCATCTCAAAGGAAGGTCAAACTGACATAAATTATAAATAAAAATGTAAATATGATATAAATTTGTATTATGAAAAATAAATACATATAAAAATAAATAAATTGGTAAAAAATTGTCAAAATCCTTAAATCCTTCAAGTTTAAAGAATTACCTTAGATACACAAAAAATAACCAGTTTGTGAGTAGTTGAGAGAGGAATGCAGGAGTAGTTTACATTAGATGTACAGGTGAATTTAGTCAATGATTTATCTTACATTTGTTCCATTAGGTCTCTATTACTCCTTCCTCCCTTAAAATGTTTGTGAAAATTATAGATTCATGTATACCTGATAAACATAATACAATTATTAATTATACCTTTAGAGTTGATTAAGGTAATAAATGCTGAATAAAGAAACATGTGCTACATCCCCACTGGCAACTCCCTATTCAAGTTTTTCCAGTTATATTGTGTTTAATCAAAATTCACATATAAATTACTTCAAAGAAATGTACGACCAGGCCATGTTTATTATTTTATTCTAAGATAAAGAGGTTCCCATCTTTCTCTTTATAGCCTGGTGTGAATTTTTTACAAACCAAAACTCAAACATTGACTTTTGAAATCTTTCATTTTTTGATGGGTCAACTAAATTTGTTTTGTGTATGTGTGTTTGTGCATGCACACGTGTATTGCCTTACATACATTTATATTAGTGAACTTTGTGGTTGTGTGTGTAGAGTTTCTACTTACCAGTAGACTTTCTAGGTCAAAATATAGGCACCTTAATATAAGTATGCAGTTTCCCTTTCACAAAGGTTAAAGTAATTCACTTAAACAGTGCATGAGATTGTAATTTGCCCACTGCCTTGCTTACACTAGTACACTCATTTCTGGATATGTGGAGCTAGAATGTAAAAAACAGTACCAACTTACATGTTGCTGAGTGTTCTACCTAATCTTACAGCATTGCATACTTCTTGATTTTAAATTACTTACTTTTACTATATTCCCCAGGGATTTGATGGATTGCAATGAAAGTCTCATCCCTGTATGTAGGCAGAAACTATACTACATGAGGTTAAAACGTATGCAGATTCAATTTTTTTGTGGTTGCTGCAAATGCCACTTTTCAGCAGATGGGAGTGGCTTACCAGTCTCAGTTGTTCTTGTTTGCAAAGTCAGTCATACAGGCTTGTCTTACTAAATACTGGGTCATACTGGGTCCCTGCCACAGCTTCGGTGGTCCTTACATCACAAAATGTGATTCCAGGGCAAGAAGGCGATGAAGAAGTTCAGGAAGTCCACAGAGAAATCTCAGAAAATGAATCCATATCAACTTCCCAACATGGACAGCTACACGATACCTATTCCTCCACCACCTCCTCCCCCAGATGGAAAGACCATAAGGGAAAGCCAATCTGAAATGTGGAGAAGGAGGAGGCTTCATCCAACCACCACGCCGAATGGCTTAGAACCTCTCTTCACAAGGGTGATTATATGTGTGTGTTGGTTTGGGTACCAGGGATCAAACTCAGGACCTGCTGCTTGCCAGGCAGGTGCTGTGGGGCTGAGCTACGTCCTTGGCATACCAGGGTGACTATAGAGCAACATTTTTCCTTTATTAACTTAACACAGATTATGTTGCACTATTTGAATTTTAGATTTGTAGAAGTGTTTGGGGAGGAAATAACAGACAAAGTGCCTTGCATAGAGGAAAATAGTAATCTAAGTGTAAGCTTAAGTGAGTCTGAAACTCAAAATATGAACAGTTCAGTAGAGTCACTAATTTAGTACAATTGACAGAAAACTCTAAAGCTTGTGATCAAATCTAGTGTAAGCTACATCCATTTCCAAATAACTTATTTCCTTTAAATAACTTATTTCCTTCATACAAAGTATCTTATCATTTAATTTGTGAAAATCCAGGGAATTAAATATATCTGGAAGCATCACATATCTTATCAAATCTGATTTTTAATGATTGATGACAAATTAGCGTTTGTTAGAAAAATTAGAAAAAAATTAGAAGTTAGAAAAATTAGAAAATTAGAAAAAATTAGAAAAAAAACCTTTCAGTGTTTCTTTATAGTACATTTCCTGAAAATGTCATTGCAAAACATAATTCTAAGGCCAGATGAATTTTATATAAACTCATGATGCTACAAAGCCATGAGAACGTTTCAATCCCATTAAGTAAATATCAAACCCATGTTACTTATATGTAACATTTGTGATTTTTAGCAGACAGTCGGGTACACGGATCCACTGAGTTTCTGGGAGTGAAATACCACCATGTTAGTCAACTGTGGGTCTAGCACTTTGAGGCAGTCTAACGCTCCTATGCCTTCTTCACCTCATGTGCACCTCTCGCTACCAGTAGCTGTTCTGACCTCTGACCTTCTCAAAAGGCTGGGACTTTCTCTCTCCCACTGGCCCCAGTTTCCTCCTCATAACTCGGTTTCTGTAGCGCTCTCCCTTTGTTACTTTCTTTGACACAGCCTTCTCTCTCCTCCCCAAGGAGCACCCTCTGCCCCTTGTCCTTGATCTCTGACCCTCCTTCAGCCTGTGGACTGGGCAGACTGCCACCCTCCTCTCTAATTTGGACTTCTTATTTTTTCTCTAATATTCATCTCTGCCTGTCAGGACACCCAAGCCTTACATATTATAGCTTCATCTAATAAACAACCACAGTCTACAGCAACAGAGTTTTATTTCTTGCTCCCTTGATCATCTTTGTTGGTCAGCTGCAGTTCTGGGCCCCAGACTGGAGGAACAGCTGTCTGACGAGTTGGATTGTGTTGACCTCATGACCGACAGAGCTATAGTGTAATTTTATGGTTGTGTTCAAAAGTATCCCATGCCCCTCACTCTTGAATTCCACTGCCGAAGCAAATTCTGGCCAAGCCTGACAGCCACGGGATGGGATGCATTATCCTCTCATAGAGATGGGCAATGAATATTTGGAACAATAATAGAATCTACCATATCCACTAACATATTTGGGTTCTATTTTTTCTTTGTATTACTGGGAATTGAACCTACAGCCTCACAGATGCTAAGCAAATGCTCTACCGCTGAGCTACATCACCAGCCCTTAGGAACTCTGCATTTTTGCGCCTATTTCCACCAGTCCAACTAACAGAATCCCCGAAGAGTGCACCTCCCATCTAACAGGAACAGTGATTTTCCCATCATTTTCACATAACTGAGGGACAGCATTTAATTTTCAAATGTTGAATCATATCACTGGGATCAACTCTAGCTGTTATACTCTTAAAAACAGTTTATGTCTCATAAGAATGTACTAAATCTCTGAGTGCAAGTTAAAGAGTAGTCAAGTAAATATCCACATTTGCACTACTAAATGAAATCAAACTTTATTTTCCTATTACATTCACGCAAGCCCCTACATTCTGACTCTTCAGTTCTCTGCTGTTTCCCAGAGAAACCGTTGTCTTGATTTCTGTGTTAATTGTATCCTTGTCTTTCTTTAGAGTTCTATCAAGAATGTGAGTTAAACTTTAGAAGAAAGTTCATTTGTAACTATAATGAAAGGACAGTATTTGTAGAAGGAAAAAAATGATCTTTGGGTTAGACTCTGGATTTGATTCCTTGACAGTTTTAAGAGCCTTTCCTGCGAAAGCCAGAAAAGGAAACAATGCTCCCCAGAATCCCAGTACCTGGTGAGGTCCCGCTGCAGGCCAGACGCTGGTGTCCATCAGGAATATGGCCAGGGAAATGGGCTTCTGGATCTGAATACAGGAGAAACAGAAGTAACTTCTCCATTCTCTGGTCATGAAAAATGAATAAACCAGCACCTGAGCCAGGTGCCCCTGGGAGACAGGATTCAGGTTAGAGCCATAGTGTGTAGTTAGCAGGTGTGTGGGCTCTGGCAGCCAGTCTGCCTCTCCATCCATGGGCTACACTCTTACCTTTCTTTCCCTCTTTCTTTCTTTCTTTCTTTCTTTCTTTCTTTCTTTCTTTCTTTCTTTCTTTCTTTCTTTCTTTCTTTCTTTCTTTCTTCCTTCCTTCCTTCCTTCCTTCCTTCCTTCCTTCCTTTCTTTCTTTCTTTCTTTCTTTCTTTCTTTCTTTCTTTCTTTCTTTCTTTCTTTCTTTTCTTCCTTCTTTCTTTTCTTTTTCTCCCTCCTCACCCTGTCTGTTTTCTCCTTTGAGAATTCCTGTTGTGGCAATTTTAGAACTACTAGACCAATGCTCTGATATTCTTAACATCTATTTCTTACTTTCTACTTCTTTTCCTTCTGTTTTATTGCTGAGAGCCTTTCAAATGAGCCCTGTGCAATTACAGATGTCCAATTGATAGGTCCTACTGCCCCTCAAGTCCAACATAGTTACAGCTTAGGCCAGTGTTTCTATTTAATTGTTTTATTTCTCTTTAAGCACGGCCTTTTCTTCAGTAATTTGGTTTCCTTCTCCTCTCTGCATTACATGTCCAGTAAATTTCTAAGTTCTCCAGATCAGAGACATCCAAAAGAAGTAGAAGCCACATTTGCAGTTTTAACAGCTATGTTAGAAAAGGTAGAAAAATATGCGAGATAATTTTAATGATATATTTTATTTAATCAGGTACATCCAAAATATGATCATTTTAACATGAATCATTGTGAAATATTTTAAAGAGGTGTTGTACATTTTTACAGCATGTCTTTGAAACTCAAAGATTATTTTCTGTGTACAGCACATTTCATTTGAATGCCACCTTTCAAAGCCCCAACAACCAAATGGAAAGAACATCTTGCTATCTCAGCACAGCTCCAGATGCTTGACAACATCTTGTGTATCTGGCAAATTCTCTTCACTACATCTCTAGGTCAGGGGCTGGTTATTGCAATCACCTGTGTGCTTTTGTCATGCCTCTAAGTCAACGAGTAGCTCAGTTGAGCTTTTATTGACTATGATGAACACTGTGCTAGGTGCTGAGCTTACTGAGATGGCTAAGACTGAGTCCTGTTCTCAGAAATAGGATTTAGTCTCCTTTTAACAAGGGAGATGAGAATGTGTACAATTAGCCATGATAAACTGTGATGAGTTCCATCATTGTGGTGCACGTAAGGCATAATGGGAACACAGAAGAAGGAAATATGACTTCTAACTGAGAAGATTGGAAAATGCCTCAGGGAGAGTATTTGAAATGGGCTTCACATGGTGATTAGGAAGTTAGACTAAGGGAAGAGTGAGGGTCAGGAAGGGGAAAGAAAAGGAGACAAAATTCATCTCAGTTTTAGTGGATTCTACAATGAACTCTATAGGGTAACTCCCAACACGTTCCTCTGCTTAAGATTTCTACTAGCTGGCCCTTTCCTAATGGAAACAGCTGTAGTTTTCCACCTGGATATTTTAAAATGCAGGTATTTCCCTTTTTCTTTTGATTGCCTTTTGTTAAATTCAGATGTGGTGCCCTCTATAGATAAGGAGACAATTGTCATCGAAAAGATAGCTGAATATTCCCAGTTCCCAAGAGGACACGACAGCAGGTGCGTCAGTCAGGGCTCCATCCAGACTAACGTTCGATGCCTGCCTGGGCATTGTGTCCACAATAGGTTGGCGGATAAAATTATCCACCCAGCACTTCATGCAAAGGACACACAAGGAAGCTCTAGGATAAGAAAGTCAGGGGGCAGACGGAGTGAAGAAGAGATGTGGTTTCCATGGGAAAGAGTGATGAGGCAGAATTGGGATTGGATGTGTAATTTCACTGCGCTCAGGGGTACAGGGACCACTCTGCTTTTCATGTTTCCTGGTCCTGGGATGCTCATGGTGGAGGAATATGGACTCTGAGTATGCAGCCTGAGAGAGGAGATGGATTGTTACTTTGCAGATGCTAAGGGTTCTGTCAGCCAAGTCCTTTAGAGATATCAAAGAATTGCTTAGCTCAAGGTCACTGAGGCCCCAGGGACCGAGGTGTCAGAAGAAGAAGACTGGCTTCATAATCTGGCTTTGGGGGCCTCTCAGATTCTGCCTCCCTCCCTTCCCACTCCTATCCACACCAGCCTGAATTACTCCTGCTTTCCCTTGGTCCATTTACCTATTCCTGCAATGTGCTTTTACTTTCCATTGGAAATTCAACCATTTTCAAATCACCTCATATTGTGTCTTTCAATTGCCTGCTATTGTATGTTTGCCTTTTGTTAACTTTTCATAAAAATATAGAAATTTATGATTAATAATGACCAAATGATTACAACTAATATTCAGTGGGTCTTTACAATATGGTGGTGATTTTGCTCAGTATTTAACATACAGTGTATCATCTGAAGTCCACAATAAGCTTCTGAAAGGGACATGATAAATTTTTCATTTAACAAATGAGGCAACTGACACAAGACAGGTGAAATAACATGCCCAAGAGCACAGAGTTAATTAGCAGCAGATTACATGTACCACTCGGAAAGCTGATGTTTCGGACTTACATGTGTAATCCTCATATCCAAATTATATGAGGCTTACCTGAGAGACTGTTTTCCTGGAATC